ATTTAAAAAAAAAAAAAAAAAACAGTTGATTTTTAGTATTTTTTTTCTCATCAGGCATCATCTGGATTCGAACACAGGTCTGTATTTTAAATGGGTTTACCAACTGATGATTTCTCCATATAATATTGAACGGGACGCTGGGCCTGGTTCCCGGCATGTGCTGCTCCCCACGAATAGATTGGAGCATGTTCTCCCCCCCTCCCCCAAATAATAATAAGTTAATAACAATAATAATGATAATAATTATAATAATAATAATAATAATAATAATAATAATAATAATAATCTAGGCCACTAGACTAAAGTTGACTTCCTACAGCAGGACAGCATTTGAATTTCTGCTTTATTGCCAATAATTGGCCTATGGGGCCTCTCTCCACTGCTCAGCAAATGTGCAAAATGGGAATGAATCTTCCCCTAGGTGGTGGGAAGATACGCCGCCATATGTTTTGTGGTTTGTGCATGTGGTAAGTAGTGGAGCAAGGCCCATAGTCATGCTGGAACGAGAAAGCACAGAAACTAAGTTTGCTGTTTGTTTTCCTAGGGCTGTGGGCGTTTCCGTTCTTAGCCAGGGCCCGCCATAAATTATTGTATTATTATATACATATGCCTTATTTTCGAGCGGCGAGTGCTTTCAAATGCTGCATAATTGCAGCCTGCTTGTCCGATTTTATTTTATTTTTCTCTTCTTTCCTCCACATTTTCCCTTTCTAATGTGAAAAAGCTCCGTTGTATTGGCAAGGAGCTGCACTTCGCTGACTTCTTGGGGTAATTTCAGTGCAGTCACAAAAACAGTTTAAAAATTACACTTCTTCCGAATTTCCCCGGAACACAACACAACCCCCAAGCAACCGTACCTGACCGGAAAGCTACCTTGTATACATTGCACGAAGTGCAATTTGAAACTTTTTTTTGCCCAAAGTGTATTTTCAAAGTTCAAACTGTTTTTGTCACTCCGGCGCAGTTTCCTTTTTTTTTTTTTTTTGGGGGGGGTTGGGGGGGTGGGCCTGCTGTTGGTGGTGCTAGGGGCACCCCCCCCTTTTTTTTTTTTTTTTTTTTTCCCCCCCCCCCCCCCCCCCTCCCTCCTTTATAGGCAGGTGAAGGACTGTTGTAGGAATGGAAAATCGGTAGTTTGGACTTTCTGCAGGGCCGAGGTCCCACTAGCAAAAAGGATAGGATCGAGCTCCTGAATCTGGACGTGTTTTATGCAGAGATGCAGAAAAGCATTTCAATCTCGATTTCCTGCACATCTCCGTAACCTCGTCCAGATTCAGGCATTCGATCCGATCCTCTTTGCTAGTGGGACCACGCCCCAGGCGTAAAGGCTTGGATCCCCCAGTGTGTTTTGAAGAAAAAGTTGGAAAAGTACCCTGAAAGTCGTAAAAAAAAAAAAAAAAAAAAAAAGAACGAATTCGGATCCCATGGGCCCGGCAGGGAAGGCACTTCTCCACAGATTTTGCCTACGTGCACTCTGTCCCAACGGACATCCAACGGCCATCGGCCACAAACCAACAACACGAAAAAGGGAAAAGCCAAATTTGCACAGGCACCTACCTTCAGGGGGAGCGGGTAGGGGTCGGGAGCTTTTGGAAATTTGAGGGGGTAGGGGTCTGGAGCTCTTAAAAATCCGATCACGAAACCAGCCACGAATCTCTCCCGTGTTGCCACGAAGGAGGCCCAGAGAAGAAACAGCCGAATTATTTTCCCCGTCCGCTCAAGGGTGGAAATGCATGGGATTTCTTTTTCTTTTCACGGAAGTACCCCTACTAAAGATTGTGGGATCCAAGCCTAAGCCTGTAAGCTAAGCTGGCTGATACTGTCAGTATCTTCCAGGTTGAATTGTGAGGCCCCCGGCCTCGATGCTACATTTTGTAATGAATGGTGTCTTTCAAAAAAAAAAAAAAAAAAAAAAAAAACAGTGTGAAAGAACAAATTTGAAGTTTGAATTAGGCTGGTCACTGGTCAGGAAAAAAAAAAACCAAACATATATGGCCATTTACGTACTACATCTACATGTGTTGGGGTACAGATCCTGCTCACCAGTTGGGAGTCTGCGCATCCATATTATTCGTTCTGGCCGACCATTGTCTTCCCCCCAACACAACGTGCCCTCATCATGACTGTATGAGATCAGAAATATAGCCTGTATACATTCATGATCAAGCAGCTGTATTGTGTTTCGTAGCTCTGGCATTCTCTGCAGCCTTCGTAGCAGGCTACTCCTGCCCTCCAGGGCCTCCACGCTTTTTCAAATGAGAAGCTCGTAAACATTATGGTATCCAACACGATGGGCCATACCATTTAACCACCACTACCTTTCGCAGCTGCAGTGCCATTTGGGAAAATGACCTCATCCAAAAAAATCGCCGCCGTGCGGCCGCTGATATTTTTTCATCGGCGGCTACCGGCCTCTGAATTGAGCGGGACCCTCCCCACGGCCAACATATGGGGAAGGTACTGGCAGTTTAACGGAAAAAAAAGAAACGAAGAGAAAAAGATGGGATGTACCATTTAGCCACTCGGCAAGATGTGAAGATCTCTGAAAGAATATTCTAGAAGGCTAGACAATGCCGCATTACTATTATTATCTTTTTAAAGAAAATCCAGGTTGCACTCCCTCGTTGGAGGCTTGAGCACGGGCGTGGCTGCTACGGGGTTCCCCGTAATACTATAGTGACAATAAAAAAGGCCTCAAAGGCCGTCCTGTCCAGATTTGACAGGTAATTGAATTGGTTGGGCACTAGTACCTTTCCCGCGTGGGAAAATAGGGGAAACTGGCTACTCCTGAAAATTCGGAGGCCGGGCCCAACGACAAACGAAACGACAGACGCCGATCAGATTTATCAATGGCAGTCGTTTCGTTTGTCGTCGGGCCCGGCCTCCAAATTTTCAGGAGAAGCCAGTTTCCCCTATTTTCCCACGCGGGAAAGGTACTAGTGGGGAAAAAAAAACAAAAAACATATCATGATGGCAGTCGACAATGAACAGAGGGGCTCTTTCGACACTCCTCGGGCGCGTTAAATCCCCGAGGAAATCATTGTTCCACTTATCCTCGGGGAAGAAAACAAAAAAAAAATCTGAAAACATTTCCTCGGGGATTCCTCGGGCTACAGCCATTTCTACGTGTTCCCCGAGGTCCCTTGGAGGTCGAGCATCCGGAA